AGGAGTATTTAACACAATATATATGTCAATTTTGCTATATGTATTAGTTGAACATTGTCAGAAGTTCACTATTTTTTGTAGTTTACTATTTTTTCTAGTTTGTTTATTGTTCTTAAAAAATGTATGATAATACTCCATCAAGGTTATTTCAGTTGGAATTCAGAAGAAATAAATCACATTTCGACAGCTCATTTTTTATAGAAAGAAACAAACACATTTGCATTTCAAGCAAAACGAATCAAGATTGAACAATACAAAACAAAACACAACAATAATAATATAAAAGAAAAGGAAAGTTAAGATCTTGATAGCAACAATCGATATTGGGACTAAATTCTTTCTGTATCAAGAAAGATAAGTAGCTAAATATAATAGCATAATCACATCACAAAATCAACCAAATTTTATAAATTAAAGTTCGCATCATCAATCAAACTATAACACCCCAAACAAGTCTTAAAGAACATCAGCTTCACTCGACCCCCCATTGCCATCCAAAACATTTGCAGTGAAAAAAACAAAAGTATTTAAAGCTAACAAAGAGAGAGAGAGAGAGAGAGAGAGATTGGGATCAGATTCAACCAAAATCATAGCACACATCATACACAAATATCATGTTTCAGTCGAAGAAAAACAAACCCTTAGTTGCCTAGCCCCATGTCATAAATTACACACATTACATAAAACTCGAAGCTTTCCCACAACAAACGACAATGAAAGGAAAAAGAGAACGTGGTCTTATAAAACAAATTGGATTCATAACAAAACACACTTCAAATGAGTGAATTGAACGAAAAAATGTTCTTGCAAAGGAAAAAAAAAAATATCAGATTCAGACACCAAGAAAAGCAAATAGAACACGTAGAGAAAGGAAAAATTTCAAAAGAAGCAAATGCAGCCACGCAAAAGAAATTTCTGATAAGAAAATATTAAATCATGAACTAAACCCTGTAAAGAATCCCAGATTCATAGTCCCTACAGCAGAAAGAAAAAGAAAAAAAAAAATTCTTCAACACATACAGTCCCAGATTCATAAGTCCATTAGAATACTGAGTCAATTTCACACAAAGATTATGTACACACACTTAGAATTGCAGCTTTTGCAAAATTCAGCATTTAAACCAAAATTTTAGCTTACGACCTATTTTATATGTTCTCTAAAATTGAAATCTCATCTAACAGACCCATAAGTTCCAATCAACTCTCATGATTCTTTGATTCCCTCAGAAAAATGATAAGAACAACTATAAGGTTCACGTTACAACAAATGAAAATTTTAAACTAATTTATTATGTAACATTACTACTAATTGATTATAACAATAATAAAAATAATTATAATAATTTTCTAACTAATTAATTGTATGGTTCATCTAAATTACAAAATAATTATACCGTAGTTGAGGAGCAGGCCGATAATACTTTTCTAACAGTACCGATAATTTGTTATGATTAAGTGAAAAAAATTTATGTTAAACAACAATAAATACGTAAATTATTTACCTGATGAGGATGAAGATGGGCCAAAACGCCCCCCAACCTGTCGTTGAGGAGCAGCATGTGTAGGACGAACAGCCTGTACCGGACGAACATGCTATAGAACCGGCTGTACCGGATGAACAGACTGTACAAGAGGACGAGGGTGGTTAGGACCCGTAGGCTGTGCGTGGTCCTGATCATCTGAAGAGTCGTCCGAGTCATACTCCTCTGGACCCTGCTCCCTCTCGTCGTACGACTCATCATCAACATACTCCTGCTGACCATAAGGTAATGATACGCGTGCGCGGGGGGGTATCGACTTCCCTGCGTAGCGGGAAAAAGCATATCCCGGCTGATCGTACCGTCCTGGTGCCGGGGGCATCAAACTGCCCGCCTGGCCAGGATAATAAAATCCATGCTCGCCGTACGGGAGGACTCCGTGGGGTTGCAAACTATCTGGCTGGCCCTCAAAATGATATCCCTGCGCACCATCTCGCACTGGTGCGGGGGGGGGGGGGGGGGCTAGCCTGACGAAGCTGTACCCTCCGAGCCTCATCGATCAACGCCTGCCTTTCCATGTCCTTCTCCCGACGAACGGACGCATTGACACCCCGACTTCTAGTGTGTCGGGTGCCAGAACCATCATAATAGTCATCGAACGCCTCGTCGTCGTCCCTGACACATTAGATTGTCCAGGTCTGCTAACACCCTGAATCAGAAATATAATTATTAAATTTTTCCATATGTAATGACTATTCTAATAACTATTAAAATAGATTATAATTCATTTTTGTTTTCATATATAAATTTTATTAATTATTATTATAATTATAATTGTTGAGATTTATAATAATTATTATAATTAATACTAATTTATAATTATTATTATATTTAATTACAATTATCATTACAAATTATTATTATTATTATTTCTTATAATATTATTATTATAAGAATTTATAATTTATAATTATTAATATTATTTTTAGAATTTATAATTAATTACAATTTATTCAACTTATTATTATTATAATATTTAATAATTATTATTATAATACATAATTATTATTATAATTTATAATTGTTATTATTTGTAATTTGTAATTATTATTATTAGAATTATTATTATTATTATTAGAATTTATAATTAATTATAATTTATTCAACTTATTATTATTATATTATATGATTATTATTATAATTTATAATTGTTATTATAATAATTATAATTATTATTATTATTATTACAATTATTATAAAAAAAATTTAAAAACTGTCCGGCCAGCGGTTCCGGACGGTTTTTCGGCCGTCCGGAACCGGACAGTGTTAGGGCCGTCCGGTTCGGCCGACCGGACGGTTTATCGTCCGTCCGGAACCGACGACCGGACGGACGGTGGCCGTCCGGAAATGACGGCCGGACGGCCGATCAGATTAAAAAAAAAAAAATTAAAATTATTTCCGGCGTATGCTTTGCCGAGGCCGTAGAATTATTTCGACATTTTTTCGGATTTTTTTCGGTGCTCGAATCACTCGTTGAAAGTTCGGGAATTTAGAGAGATAGAGTCTGGAAAAGGGTTAAGGGCAAAAAAGTAAATTGAGGAAGGGTGACTAGTAAAAGGGGGCGGTGAATAGCAGTTGAGTAAATTATGTGAGGGGCTCTAGCCCGGCTACGTCGTCATGCCCCCACTTTCTGATTCTTTCTAATTGTTGTTTATTTGTTTTTCATTTTTATGTATTACATGTATTTTTTTATTTCTTTTTTGGAGACGTTAAATATTATTGTTGAGAAAAAAAAGAACAATTACATGAAAAAGTTAAAAGGAGCACTAAGTGCCCTAAACAAAAAAAGAAAAAAATATTGAAAAACAACAAAAGGAGTATTTTTCTTGTTCATATTAATTTATGTTTTTATTTATGTATTTTTTAAAAAAAAATTTTGTTTGACCTTTTTATATATCCTTCTTTTATTAGTTAGTCAAGTTATAGTAATAAAATGTAAAGTTATTTTGTAATTATTAATATGTTGAAAAAACTGAGGGTTATAGATTATGAAAAACATAATGGTCTTGTTTGGTAATCAGCGGTTAGCTGATAGCTGTTAGCTGATAGTTGTTAGCTGATTGCATTTGCTGTTTTGACCAGCGGATTGCGTTAGCTGGGTTGACTAGATGATTGTGTTAGCGGTTTGTAAAAGAGTGTTTGGTAGGATTAACTATTTTTAATTAGCTGTTAACATACAAAATTACTTATAAGGACATCAACATAATTTATCGTTATCATTTATGTTGAACTTATAATTATATAGGAAATAAAAATAATTAATATTTTAAATATTTATTAAAGTGATTTAACATATAATAAAAATATAAATAATAATAAAACAAAAATATTTCTTGATTGAGTAAATAAGTTCACGTCCTATAAACAAAACTAATAACAAGTTATCACTATTTAAAAAAACAAATGTGTGCCAATTTCGATATATCTCATAACAATTGAAAAAAAAAATATAAAAGAAAATCTATGTAACTAAAATTTGCATTAACAATTTCTTAAAGTTTCCATGTACATCTAAGTAACAAAAATTATATATATTTAAAATTTTAGAAAAAAAGGTTGGTAAAATTATTTGTTAAGTATTATACTAGAATTAGTTGGAATTACATTTTTATATTTGAATATCTTTTCTTATGTAACATTAGCTATAATTTTAAAAAACGAAATATCTTTTCACGTAAATTAGACACGCAAGATGTGATTTTTTTTTTCAGCAATCTTACTACCATTTAGCAAATATTCTTCTTCTTCTCAAAGTTCCAAATTCTTTGAATAACTTTAAGTATACATAGCATAGTTATTGATGAAAATTAAGTTAAAATACAAATTTACTAGTAGAATTCCATGAATACAAACTCACGTGAAAGTTGGAATGACTTGTTTAAATTAATTGGTTTTGGAAAATACAAAAATATAGTTCATTACTAAGTTGTCTTAGGAATCTTCAAGTGCATCATATATATATACTAGTTGTCTCACGCCGTGCACGCACGACGAACTTAAATTTAGTCTATTAAATGTTCAGCACCCAAATATATAATTTCATATAATTATATATAATTTCATATATAATTTCATATAATTAAAAAATATTCAGAGCCCGTAGATGGAAATCTAGACCCCATAAGAAGTCCACCTAAGAAAGCCCTTGAAAAACACCAAAACCAACGATTGAGTTAGCTCTCTTTCAACGTTAAACACTCTTGGACTATAGAAGATAAATAATCAATATTTTCCACTCAAAGTTAAAGGTACCAAATAGGTGGCTAAGTCTAATGTTCCCAACACACGGACATAATCTTTGAGAAGAGAAAAAAAATAAATCCTACTTTTCAAGATGATAAAAGACTCCTAAAATCTCTGTATCTTGACCACACAACATGCAAAATGTAGCTAGATTCATAACCAACCATAAAGATGATGTCCCACACAAAAATAAATGATTTCATGACAAAGATACAACAATTAGACAAAACGGCAAAATTCATAAAGATTCAACACCGTAAAACAACCTACAGAAAGACACAACTAAAGGTGTATTCAGTTCCTCAAGGGCTGAGCATATATATCTTGATAGCCCACTTTTCTATAAAAATTATCAACAAAATTTCAAGGAAACATTTTATCATTAGAGAAAAAAAGCTAAATCTTGCTTTAACAGAAATACTTGGAACAAGCAAGTAATTTAAATCAAGCCTGCCGCAACTAAAATTACCTGCACAGAAACAATCCCCTTTTGTGTCCATCAAAGTCGCTCCCTTAGTCATACCTAACCAAAAGAATTTAGAATAAACGGCCCGCTGAATATGGTGGATTTGATATCTCAAAAGGTTCTCCCCATCATATTCAGAAACTCCTCCAAATTCCTACAAATTAAAGATGTCGTAAAGCACACTGAGTAAATGAATAAAAACTCATGTCTTCTCTTCTAGCAATGTTATTCCAAAAGCTCCAAATCAGGAGTATTTAACATAATATATATGTCAATTTTGCTATAAGTATTAGTTGAACATTGTCAGAAGTTTACTATTTTTTGTAGTTTACTATTTTTTCTAGTTTGTTTATTGTTCTTAAAAAAATGTATGATAATACTCCATCAAGGTTATTTCAGTTGGAATTCAGAAGAAATAAATCACATTTCGACAGTTCATTTTTTATAGAAAGAAACAAACACATTTGCATTTCAAGCAAAACGAATCAAGATTGAACAATACAAAACAAAACACAACAATAATAATATAAAAGAAAAGGAAAGTTAAGATCTTGATAGCAACAATCGATATTGGGACTAAATTCTTTCTGTATCAAGAAAGATAAGTAGCTAAATATAATAGCATAATCACAGCACAAAATCAACCAAATTTTATAAATTAAAGTTCGCATCATCAATCAAACTATAACACCCCAAACAAGTCTTAAAGAACATCAGCTTCACTCGACCCCCCATTGCCATCCAAAACATTTGCAGTGAAAAAAACAAAAGTATTTAAAGCTAACAAAGAGAGAGAGAGAGAGAGAGAGAGAGAGAGAGATTGGGATCAGATTCAACCAAAATCATAGCACACATCATACACAAATTTCATGTTTCAGTCAAAGAAAAACAAACCCTTAGTTGCCTACCCCCATGTCATAAATTCCACACATTACATAAAACTCGAAGCTTTCCCACAACAAATGACAATGAAAGGAAAAAGAGAACGTGGTCTTATAAAACAAATTGGATTCATAACAAAACACACTTCAAACGAGTGAATTGAACGAAAAAATGTTCTTGCAAAGGAAAAAAAATCAGATTCAGACACCAAGAAAAGCAAATAGAACACGTAGAGAAAGGAAAAATTTCAAAAGAAGCAAATGCAGCCACGCAAAAGAAATCTCTAATAAGAAAATATTAAATCATGAACTAAACTTTGTAAAGAATCCCAGATTCATAGTCCCTACAGCAGAAAGAAAAAGAAAAAAAAAATTCTTAAACACATACAGTCCCAGATTCATAAGTCCATTAGAATACTGAGTCAATCTCACACAAAGATTATGTACACACACTTAGAACTGCAGCTTTTGCAAAATTCAGCATTTAAACCAAAATTTTAGCTTATGACCTATTTTATATGTTCTCTAAAATTGAAATCTCATCCAACAGATCCATAAGTTCCAATCAACTCTCATGATCCTTTGATTCCCTCAGAAAAATGATAAGAACAACTATAAGGTTCACGTTACAACAAAGAAACATACTTTGCTAAAACTTCATGCCTCCAATATGCTCCAATACATTAATCCAAATCAAACACTCTACTAATATGTTATTTAACACAAGAACAAAGCTGCCAAAGTGAATGATTAAACTGAAAAGAAAATTTTTATACTAAATTACACACCAGACAGTAAAAATAATAAACAGAAGAATAATTCATTATAACCATGAACGATATAATCATTTAATCCACTACTGCTTAGAATCGAAATCATGAAAAGCCCATTTTAACAAAATCACCCAACCCGAAAAAGAGNCAACCAGGGGGTGAATATTGTGCGCAATGTCATTCACATAAATTAATATGGATACCAATTAAATATTCTACAAAATCATTGGAAATAGAATTGAAAAGAATGGCACTTACAGAAGTGAGGGTTAAGACAACCTTAAACCTTACAACACTGAACAACAATAGAGCAGCGAGTGAGTGAGATCTGATGGTTTCAGCAATTTTACTGAGTCGCACGGTCAGAGTTACGGTTATTACCTGCACATTTTTACCGACCACAAGTTCAACCTCATATACTTTTTCAGCTCGCTTTCTGTTTTAAGGGGAATGTCAAAATGAAGATAAACTCCATTTAGTGTTGCCTCCAAAATTTCTTTTTCTTCCACTGTTGCCTCCAACAACAATAATAGAGCAGTAATCGGGGTGGTTCGTTCTGAGGAGCAGTAACACCATTCCCGAATGTTTGGTCTCTTTGGTTGAAGAATCTGACAACTGCCAACATCTCTTTAATCACTATAGGGAAAAAAACAGAAAATCCTTAAAATGACGATCATAAAACGAACATATATTTTGAATCCGAAAATACTTGGGCAACGTTGGGACATATTTGCATGTGTACTGATAAACAAATATATAACTGTAAAGCATCATGAGTAGAACAACATGACATTTAGAAAAGAAGAAAAAAAATACATACCTGTCCTGCCATGAAAATTAGGACATCACCTTCAGGTTCCCCAACATGTATATCTGCAGAAGATTCATGAATCATCAAACATAAGAGTCCACACCAAACAAAATGTAGCAAACAATGAACCCCCACCCTCAACCCACCAGAGTAATAACACCAGCACACACCAGTCACACACACATGAATAAACATCATGTACAAAAGACACAGAACAAACACTCCAAGTCAATACTTCTTCGGCTCATTTCAACGCATTACGTATTTGAGCTTAGAACTCAATACCCAATCTAACCTCGAACCCCAAATAGCAATTACAACCCAAACCTTTTATCCCTCCAGAGGAGTTTTTTCATATCAACAACACAATCCAAAAATCAGCCTTCTTTTAACCCACACAAATAATTGTTCCTCCAAGATCGTGATTCCAATTTACACCACCAATGACATCAATCTCAAGTTACATCACCAATTACACAAATTGAAAATGGGAAAAAAAGAAAAAAAAAAAAACAGACCTTTTCTAGAGACGAAAGGAACGTGATTTTCTCAGCCGACGGCGTCCCTCTCCACAGTCTCCCTCACGCCTCCCTTGCCTGATTGTAGACACAACACATGCGAAGATGTTCAGTGCTGCGTCCATACATTGTAGCCTCGAACACTCAGCAGGACGAGGTTGTTTATATACTGCGAGTGTTCACACTAGGGGCGGTACCGTAATTAACCAACTCTTTAAGTGTGAACGCAACAAACGACGTAATTATTCAGGCAGGACGAGGCTGCTTATATACTGCGAGTGTTCACACTAGGGGCGCTACCGTAATTACTTGGTTTGTTGCGTTCACACTTAAAGAGTTGGTTAATTACGGTACCGCCCCTAGTGTGAACACTCGCAGTAACGCAAGCAGGACGAGGTTGTTTATATACTGCGAGTGTTCACACTAGGGACGGTACCGTAATTAACCAACTCTTCAAGTGTGAACGCAACAAACCAAGTAATTACGGTACCGCCCCTAGTGTGAACACTCGCAGTATATAAACAACCTCGTTTGCACGTTTGCACGGTTGAAGTCGGCACCCTTCTCGACCCACGTTTATGCTCGCGAGGTTTCCCTCTGAGATGGTTGTGTGGAGGTTCGTGGTCCCCATGTTGTTGAGAAGGGTGGCATCCGTTCCGTGCATACCAACTGGCCGACATCCTCGACGACAGCGTGATGCCATTGTTAATGAGGACCTTGATCACTGGCTGGTCATTTCTGAGTATCCAATCCCAAAGGGAAACATTTCCTTCAGAATCTGCCACAAAAAAAGGATAAAAACAGTTATCTTGTGAGAAAGAATATTTACCTTTACTACTTGTTTTTTTATAAACACAAGGCAATGGATTAGTAGATACCTCTTTATTAGTGTCTGCACTGTAGTCCAAAAGTAGATGAACGAACTCTAAACTCCCATTTGATGCAGCATTGTACTGATTCAATACATACAAACACACACACACACACACAAACACTCAATATATATAAATAGAATATAAATAGAAATCTATATATGGAAAAAGTTATCAAGATATAACACGAATGACCATTTGGTATTGGCACCTTAATAGTGCAGTGCGGTTGTTGCTGTACAACTCGTCTGGCTCCAGAACCCGCCTAAGCAGATAGTGCAACAAAAGGTCATCCGCACGCGTAGTCGAAAAGCATATGCTTAGTGGAACATCCATTCTCCCGTTGGGAAGCATGTGTCCAATGTCCGTCAATATATTGCTTGCATCATAGGACCCTTCTTCTCTTTCAAATAGTGCAAGAAATATTATCATCGTGGATTCAACATAAAAGGTACAATATTTTTATCCCGTAGAATAAAATAAATAAAAGAAAAATGCAACCAAAAAAAACATCTTTCAAAGATTTTAGTAACAGAAACCAAAAAAGAAACAATAATAGCTCAAACAATAGCTAATGCAATAAAAATATGCAATGTTTTCATCCAACTCCAATTTAGTCCCTTCCAATAGAAAGCCCATTCGAACAGTTCAAGAAAATAAGCCCACTATCTGCATAACCTAATTCTCTAATCGTGCAAAAAAAAGATTTGAGAGTAAAAAAAAACTCAATTTTCAGCCACCAACTTACAAAGATACCCGCGAGCTTTGCGCCATCTCCTCCTGTGCTGCAAGGTTTTCGTCATTCCTCCGCTGGCACCGTTGAGATCTCTCAGCCATCTACGTTGTAAATTTGTCGGCCTCTGCGAGCTCTGCGCGAGCTCCGACACCTAATTCCTTCTTATACATCTCCACCGCCCGAAACTCTTCTTGCTCTTGATGACTCGCAACGAAGAGTTAGAGTGCAAGGCCGAACCCAGTCGCGGCTCTCCAGTCTTGCAGCGAGCTATTGTATTTTGTGAAATGAACTGTTTCAATTTGTCGACCGACGTAGGTTGATGATGATTAGGGTTTGATGGGAGAGAAAGCGTATGAATCTAGATAAATTTTTGGAGACGATTGAAGAATGAGGGGGTAGCCAGTTAGGTAGAAATTAAGATATACAGAGAGAAATTGCTTCTCCTTCGATGTGATTGTTGCATGTGATAACTGAGAAGGGACTACAGAAATTTAAATGACGATATCAACCACTTAAAAGTACCTCAGAACAGCGCATTTTTGTTGGCATTTGCGTCATTTTACACCCAAAAGCTCCCAAAAATCCGGCCTCCATCGTTGAACAAAGAAAAATACTATGGAATTACCAAAAGACCCCATAGATTGTATTGTATGGTCCAAGTATAAAAGATGAAGGCCATTTTAGTCATTTAACATACTGAGTGGCAACATTGTAAATAAAATGGGACACGTGTTGAGATTTAAAGAGCCCATAATTGGACACTTGTCAGCATTTTAAACCCACTCACTTCTTCATATATAGATAAGAGAGATATATGGATTATTTTTAATAATTATTAATTTATAATTTTGTCGGGACCAATATATATACAATGGGATCTCAAAAAAATTATTATCTTATAATTTTATTGATTGGGTCCCAAATTTTTACTGGTCCCAACTTAGGACCGGATAAATTATTAGTGTTAGCGAGGTTATTAATTTATCGAGTATTAATTTAACGAAGTTTTACTGTACTTCAATAGCTAGCAGCCGTGTTAGAGTATGCTTGCATTATGGTTGTGTTTTTTCTGGGTAACTATGTTGTGGTGTTGCAGAGCTGATGGAAATAACTTGTGGCCAACAAATGTATTCTGAAGTAGTTTGTCGTGCTCAAGAATTATTAAAGGTCAATCCTTGTAATTTGATTACTTGTCGAGCTGTTTTAAAAACAAAGTACTCCCAACATTTACGTCAAGTTGAAGCAACAAATAAATGTAGAGATTCTAGGGAATGGGCAACAAAGTATCACTCGAATGATGGCGTCCAATGGTGTATATCAGATTCGTTTTAGTTTTGGTAGTTCTGCATTTTCCTACGAGTCCTTATATTCATATCATACAGGCAACTCTTTTCACCCAGTAGGCCCCAGTTAATTTACACATACAAGAGAAGGCCCTAGTTCATTTGTTCGTGCCGCTGATGATCAAACCGTGGCTTATTCAGATGTGGACCTTGGGTTAGATGATACACGTGATTGTTCGAACCAATCAGGTCATTCTCATGACGACGATGATGTTGATGACCAATCCAACATACACCAATGGCGATTCTGGCAAGGAACTACCCATTCTCGATGAGGAGAAATTGTTCCAGACTTTTCAGGCATGGTTTTGTGATCATCTTGAACAACTCAGATTAATATCAAGCCATCTTGATGTTGGAAGTCTTGCATATATGCATTCAGGTTGGAGCAGTCCCTCAACGTATGCAGCAAAGTCTCCTCCTGGGTTGGATAAATATCACATCTATTATCCGACGTCAACTTTCACCGACAACGTCCAAAATTTGTGAGAAGCCTCTTCCGCCAACCAACCACTGAAAATTTCGAACTCTCTGAGGACCACTCCACGACCAAAAAAAATTCCATGGAAGAGCTAACATAGATAGATAACATACACTTGTACTCTCACATCATAGCGTGGTAGGATAGATTTATTCTTTTCCTGCTTTCTAGTGTCGTGTGCGGAAAGTGTCGGGCTGCCAAGTCAGATCCTCGAGGAAGAGAACTCGCTTTGATCGCAGGGAAAAAATCTCCGGTTGTTTGCTTATGTTGGCATATTAGAAGGCCATTAGACTCACTTACTTCTTCTTTCTTACGAATTGTCTTCGATTCTAAGCCTTTACCCTGCTAACTCTTTGAAACAAAGTCAATCTTTTCCTATTAGATAGAACAAAATTATACCATCCGAATGAGAAGGTAAATTACACCTTCCCTCTCCCTATGGTTGAGTCTCACTTTGCTCTCCTTGAGCTAATTAGAAAAATTTTGTTTCCTTTTCGTTTATTTCGAGAAATCTAGCGATCAATTTTGATTCTTTATTTTTTCTCTTGATTCTTTTCCGATCGAGATGTATAGATCATATTCATGGATTACCGCAGCTAAGAGGAAGGAATAGAGATGAATGATGTGACAACTTAGCTTCAGTCATGTATCCGCAATGACCACCAAGCCTACAACGGGTAGAAAACCTCTTGACACCAAATTTATGGTGAAGGAAAGGTTTGTGGTAAAGACAAGATATATTCGGGCAAAAAAAAATACGTGGAATTTCCAGTGGAATCCATTCAAAAATTCTAACGATTGTAATAGGATTTTATATATCTATTAGAATTGTTGATGGAATTCCATTCAAATATTTTTATATTTGAATTACATTTTTTTTTTTAATATACTTTCTCAGAAACCATGCTTTTAGTTGTCAAAAGAATGGTTGTGAAATCGACTGCTCATTAGTCGGGCAATATATCGCTTCCGGGCATCCTAGGCGAGTGCCTAAATTTAATTTTACTTTGTATATTTTGCTTAGCATCCTAGGTGACCGACTAATTAATCGGGTGAAATAGGACTGACTAGCTCGACTACTCTGATTAATCAGCCACCTAATGTCGTCCAGTCGTTTTGTTGGCCGATTTTGGTTTTTTCAGGGCGTGTAATGTTATAGCGATCCTAAAAGGTAAGTGGTGCCGAAATCTTAGGCTTCACTTAGACCAATTTTACTGCATTGCTCAAAAGTGCAATAAAATAATCGAGCAATATTCAAGTACTTTAAGAAAAGATTAAATAGAAAAAAGAAAATAAAGAAGCATAATGAATATTTTTTCGAAGATATATATATTTCAAACAAGTATGGGAGTAACAGAGTATATATTTATTGGTGTGAAAACACGACTTTTTATTACCTAACCAAATCTCTTGAAGAGAACAAAAAGAAATTCGGTTAGACCACAAAGCCAACACATATTTTGATTAGGTTTGACAAACAAGACTTCTTTCTGCCGGTTCTAGATTTTTCTCTTTACTTTATCCCGAAAAAATAAATTGAGTTCGGATGGGCATTTTGGATGCTGCTATTAAAATAGCCCTTCTGGCGGAGATTGAAACGGTTAGAGTTTTGCGTGGACACTGATTTTCGGAAGGGTTACGATCGTGTGACGACGGGCCCCAACAGGTGGCAAAGCCACGACGTCCCGTGTGATGCATTGGTCGAGCTCAATTCGCGAATCGAAGTGAAGTCCTGGTGTAATTGGCTTTCTGATTGTGAGTTGCCTCGAGAACCTGAACAACACCTTCTTCGGTCAGGAAGAGAATCCAAATGGGACAACGAATGGAAGGCCTACCACCTTTTTCAAGGTTGAGCCTTTTCAGTTAGTGTTTTCTATTTAGATTTGCTCCCTCCGCCCAATGAGAGTAGATAGAGGATTGTGGTGTTTGCCTGAGGGGCAGGGATGGCTAGGTTTCTGGGAGTGGCTAAATTCAGCCGTGATCAAATATCAATTGAATTAGCTGCTTTCTTGACGGTTTAATATGAAAAGCGTTCTCCGCCAAAATGCGTAATACCATTCTCAAATGCTCAAGATGTTCACTCCAATTTTTTGAATACACCAATATATCCTCAAAAAACACCAAGACAAATTTACGCAAGAACTCTTGAAAGATAAAATTCATAGCAAACTGAAAAGTGGAAGGAGCATTACATAAACCAAACGGCATTACCAAATACTCATAATGACCTTGATGATTATGAAACACCGTCTTCGGAATGTCTTCCTCCGCCACCCTTATCTGATGATATCCTGCCCTGAGATGCAATTTTGAAAAATATTTTGATCCTCCGAGCTCATCCAACATGTCATCAATACTAGGAATTGGAAAGCGGTCTTTTATGGTTGCCGCATTCAACGCCCGATAATCCATACAAAAACACCAAGTCTCGTCCTCCTTCTTAGCTAGTAATACGAGAGAAGAGAATGGGCTAGTATTGTGCCTGATGAACCAGGTTTCTAGCATTTCACGTACTTGTCTCTCAATCTCTGTTTTCTGAAAATGAGCATAACGGTAAAGATGAACATGTACCGCCTGAGTCTCATCCTTCAATGGTATGTGGTGATCGAAATTTCACCGTGGAGGAAGACCCTTAGGTTCGGTCATCACGTCACCAAATTGATGTATAAAATCTTGTATGTCCTGATTAATTGACTATCCATTCTCGAGCTCCTCCAATTTTTCTTTTCCAACTTGATAGCAAAGAGTTGGCTACCCCCTTTCCACAATTTTTTCAAGTTCTTCAAGCTCGCCTTCTTTGCACCCTCATTAATTTCGGTCGACAACTTAACTATTTCGTCACCCCCAACGAAATTCTATTGTACCCACCTTATAATCTGTCGTTACCGGTCCCAACCCTTCTAACCATTACACACCCAATACAACATTCGATTCTACTAATGTCAACGCATAGAGGTCGGCTTTTAGAGTCACACCATGTACCTTGATAGGAACATCTTTAAAGATTTATGAACACCTCAACCGATCCCCATTAGCCACCCTCACGTCAAAAGGATCCACCTTTTATCACCGGTAAATTCAATTTGTTGGATAAGGTAGAATTAATGAAATTATGAGATGAATCGTTATCCACTAGCACCACCACTCTTCGATCTCGAACCCATGCCGGAGATCTCATTGTTGTAGAAAATTATTGTTACCGAGTACCGAATCGAAGGATTCGTTCCCCGGGTCGATCTCTCAAGGAAGGCGGTTCGGAATCTAGATTTGATGTTGGTTGCACACAAAAACAAAATAAATTCTAAACACTCTAATCATGATTGGGGTTTGAACTATCAACTAGGAAATAACAGAAAATGCATAAAACAGAAATCAACTCAAAAACATGAATCAAACAATGATAAAGAAGCTAGGGAATTGGAGATATTTGTTTCGGTTCGAAATGCAATTAACGAGCAAGTGATCATTCGATTAAAGGATTCGAATAACCTACTCGTTCAGAGATTCACCCTCAATAACTTTTCGAAACAAGAGAGCAAACATGAACGGCAAATCAACGAGTCCTTTAACACATAGGCAATACAGCTACGAACAAGTCTATTTTATACGAGCCAAGATCGATCAACTCCTCCCATTTCGGTTCTGAGAGTCCATTAAATTAGTTTAGTAGGTGGTTAGCTGACTAATCTTTTAGAATTGAAAACATCACACAAGAACGAATCATATTCAATTGTGAATCAATTGTAAATTGAAGTGTCACTCTTCAATAATATTCAACATTCAAGCATGATAATTGAAAACCCTATTTCAAATCAACTCGCATAAATTGAATAATCAACAAGCCCGATAATCCCAAACGAATTCAAAGCATCATCCCCTATCCCTAGAGAATCGAATTAGCTACTCATATGAAATTCAACAAAATCAATCAACAATCAAAGCACGTTCTTGGAGTCCTTCGTTGACCGCCACCACAAAAATCAATCAACCGGTAAATCTGGTTCCAAAAAAAGCAGAGCAAATCAGAAAACCCAGAAATCGAAAGGAATTACACTTGGATTTCAAATATATCTGCCACCCCATCCGCCCACGAGTCGAGCCATGGGCTGACATCCTGTAGCCGAACTGTGTCACTGCCATCTTCGGCTATCGACCATCCGCTCGCCAGCCGAAATTGAAGAGATTGATTTTTAGTGAGAATTCGGATACGAAAGTTTGTGGGGGAAATTTTAGTTTTATTATCTGCAAAAATGAAAAGAAAGAAAAGAAAAAATTGAGTAAAAGAATGGGATAGAAAAGGGTTGTCTTTTACCGGAAAAAAGAAAAGAGAGATATAAGGAGGATGTTGAACGGTTATTAAAAGATAAAAAAGAATTTAAATAATAACATTGCATAAAAATGAGATAAGAAGCCCTCTATTTTAAAAGAGTACTAAATTATTAAAAATGAATAAAGAGTGTCTTGGAAAATATCTCTAGAAACGAAAATACATGGAGCAGTCGCAATAAAATCATGTTTGAAGAGAAAAAAATATGTAAATGGGCTACGTGGCAGAAAACAAGGTTGTCAATTCTCCCTTATTAAATATAAAAATCAGGGAATTTACTGCAGTCCTGTTACAGTAGATACACCATGTAGATTAGTGTAGATAGATAATGTACGGTTAAAAATCTCATAGTTCTGGCACTGTAATCCTCCCTATATATTAATTCAAAACGTGTTGAGCCTAAGTGGCAGGCTCGCACGCTTTGGAATCATACATGTCAAAATATCATGTTTCTTATTTAGGTTCGGATAAAAAATTTAGAAACAAAATTATCTTAGAATCAACCATAAATAATTATTTCATCTCACATCATTGCCTCCCATAAATATCTCTTTCATTACCATAAATTTATTGCCTCTCGTACCTAAACCTCTCATACTTAAATCTTTCTTTCATTACTTTTTATTATTTAATTCATACAATAATTGTTATAATATGTATTCTTTTTATTTTTAAATCCTTATAATTTTTTTTATTTGTATTTTATTTTTGTATGTTATATCTCAAAATAATCATATTTTGACGATCTTCGATTTGATATCCATATTGGATATATAAAATAAAAAATAATTACATCTTTCATTATAAATAGAACTACATTTATTAAAATAATAATTTAAAAATATAAATACAATATAAATTTTTTTTATAATAAATATAATAAAAATCTAATTCAATAATACACCATAAAATAATTATTTTAATGAGTTTTTCATAAATTTGAAATAAATTAAAAAAATAAGTACAAAAATATGTGTCCCATTTAAAATTAATTACTATTTTGTTAGTTATTCATTATTTTTATATATTCATTATACATAATTTTACAATGAAAATAATTATTTTAATTTTTCTATTTTAAAAGTATTAATATATTTAAAATACCCGTGTAGTATATGTATCCTACTAGTGGGCATTATAGAGGGAAAACGGAAATTGTACAACTAATATGCCAACTGTATAGACCTTATCTTCTTTTCTTCTCATTTCTACCAGAGCCGACTACCGTACACGCGTTCTCGCCGGTAAGGCTTCATAATTTATGTGTCAAATTCTTCTTTTTCATACATAGATTCCGAATACCTAACCAATTTTGAGAACGGCTATTCAAAATGTCAATTTCGGTTGAATGATGTGTGTACTGTGTGTGTTTAGTATGTGTGTGTGTGTGTGTCTCGCGTCTGTGCTCTTGTGTATGTGATTGAGGTGTTGAGGTCCCAATTAAGTAGCAGTTAGGTTGTGATTGCTTGGAGGGGTGAACATGGCTGTATGCAGTTGTAGAACGATTTGGGGGTGAAGTGAAAGGGTCTTATATAGTCTATGGCATCTTTTCTGAGAATTTGATAATCTTTTGGATTTAATTGTGCTTTGTAAAAGTGCTGCATGTCTGTTTGTCTGTTAACATGATGTTTTGATCTTCGAACCTTAGCCATCTGTTTTTTAACTCTTCACGCGTAACTTGAAGTTCAACCTTTTATCTTTCTGTAGCCACCTGCTCGTATGAGTTTGGAGTCTTCACAAGAATTGTTGTTCTGTTTCTGTTATTCTTTCAAAATCAATCACCTTTTTCACTTTTCTAAAATGCTTGTTTGTGTTTCGAGTCTTTACCAGTAGATATGTTTCTTGAGTTCTTTTAGGAGCAAGAATTAGTTCAATACCTATTTTGTTATTGAACATTATGCTCAAAATACAAACACCCTGCGTGCTATACTTTGTCCCTTTGACAGCAGCATTCTTGACTTTTGAACCGTTTTCCATCATCTTAACTTGCTCTTAAGTGTTAATGTCTTCATAAGACTTGTAGCCATGTAGCTTTTATTCTCTTAAGTTTTGGAATTCAAATGTTGGTTGTTAGTTGTTAATAATATGTCAATTTTAAGCATAATAAAACAAATTTTGACATTAAATTTAGTGAAAATATATCGTATAATTTTTTTGCATCTCATTTTTCCTGAACTAATTTATAAAATTAACTTTTGTTAAGTTACTCGATTAAATAATAGTCATTCTGTGTAAAAAAAAATTGAAAGAATTGTATATTAGTTATATTTATCTTTTATAATTTATTCAAAAACAACTAAACATATTGTCAGGAAAGAATGGTGATATACTTTCTCAACATTTACTAAAAACTTTTTCATAAAATGTTCCTAATAAAAATAATTCAAATAAATATTCTCACTTTCTCTTTTATAATTTGTGAAAAGGGTGGAGAGGCATGGAGAAAAGGGTTGCCATAGTTGGGGCCGGAATCAGCGGGCTTCTGGCCTGCAAATATGCAGCATCCAAAGGCTTTAGCCCAATGGTGTTTGAGGCCCAAGATCAGGTGGGTGGGCTTTGGAACCACACCATTGAGACCACTAGGCTTCAAGTTCCCAAACAGAGCTTCGAGTTCTCAGATTTCCCATGGCCGTCTTCGGCAGACACTTTCCCTCACAATACTCAGCTGCAGCACTATCTAAACTCTTATGCTCAGCATTTCCAGCTTCAGCAGTACATAAACTTCGATTCCAAAGTGATGAGCGTAGATTATGATGGGCCTGTTGAGGATATACAACATTGGGAGCTGTGGGGTGGGACGGGCAAAGCTTTTGGGTCCAAGGGCAAGTGGCATCTCAAAGTTGTCAACACCAAAAACGGCTCTGTAAAGGTATATTGATTCAATTGATAAATGTATATGTAGTGTTAAAATATTGAGATCTGGAAATTTTTCTTTCCTTTGGGAGATCGTTTTCGTGGGGTAAATGTGAAGGGTGTGTTTGTATACAAATATATAGGCTCAAAACGAGGTTTTTTTTTTTTGTTAACCAGAGTTAATTTTGAAAAAAAAAATTAGTATGGTTAGTTGTTAGTGAGATTTTGATTTTATATTAATATGATATTTAAAATAAAATAGTTAAAGTTAGATTTGATATAAAAATATGAGAGATGCTATAAAGTGATGGTTAGTTAAGGTTATGTGAGTTGAATAATGAATTAAATTTGATGTGATGTGTAAGAATGATTGGTTGATATTATTTGATTGTATTAATAATATTGACGATAGTTAAAGTTGAGTTAGATTTTGAGTATGAATGGAGTGTGGATTGTGTATATTTATATACAAACACACCTGAAATTTCTAACCATAAAATGAAGAATTATAATATATTTGATATATTCCACCATACAATTGGACTTGATTTGTGGACCTTAAATTTTTTTACAGTAATGATAGATTTAAAATTTATTGTTGATTGAGTTTCACCAAAACATTGTGATCGAGAATTTATATAGTGTCATGTGGTGGTTGATGACATGTTGACAGGAGTATGAAGCTGAATTTGTAGTTCTCTGCATTGGAAGATTCAGTGGTTTACCAGATTCTCCCGAATTCTCTCCGGGATTCGGACCTAATGTATTTTCGGGAACAGTGTTGCATTCTATGGATTTTGCCTCCATGGATAACTCAAGTGCAGCCGAGTTGATTAAAGGGAAAAAGGTTGTGATTGTAGGTTCGGCCAAATCAGCAATCGACATAGCGTTTGAATGTGCAAATGCCAATGGTAAGAATAAAAAAGATTAAATTTTTAGCTAGATGAATAATAATCGCTTCCAAATTATCCATAACTTTAGTATATGCTCTAATGTATTTTTTTTAATCATCAGGCAATGATAATCCATGCACTGTGATCCCACGCACTGTTCACTGGATGCTGCCCGATCATAAGCCATGGGGTGTTAGTTTCGGTTTTTTGTGCTTCACCCGTTTTGTCGAGCTTTTGGTTCATAAGCCTGGAGAAGGGTTCTTTTCTAGTCTATTAGCAACAACACTTTCACCTTTGGTAACCATCTTGTTGTGCATGAAAGTAAAGATGCATGCTCTTTATTATGCGTTTGTGTCTAATTATATGATGAGTGTTAGTATACAACTCATCTGTCTAATTTATTTATTTCGTTCTGAAAATATTAGCGGTGGGCATTATCTAAGTTTGTGGAAAGCTATGTTAAATGGAAGATTCCGTTGAAAAAGTATGATATGGTTCCGGAAGAAAGCTTTCTTCAGGAAGTCTCGTCTTGTCAGCTATTCTTTCTGCCCGACAGCTTTTTCGACAAAGTGGAAGATGGAAGCATTGTTTTCAGGAAACCAAAGCAACTTAGCTTCTGCAATGAAGGTTTGATCCTTGATGGACAAAATATTCCTCTTAAAGCAGATATAGTCATCTTTGCCACTGGATACAAAGGCGAGGAGAAGCTTAAGGGAATGTTTGGCTCTCCAACTTTCCAGAACTTGATTTCTGGTTCTGAAAGCTCCATAATTCCTCTGTACAGGTATTTTTCTCCAAATTCATAGAAGGCACTTCTTAATTAATCAACACTTTTTTCTAATTCTTGAAGCATCTTTCTAAATCTCAAAAAAAGAAACCAAATTTGTCACCTTTGAGATCCTAAAATTCAATCAGGAATTGTTCAGAACCCACAGTTACTGTTGCACTTATCCACACATTGTTATTAATTCAAATTTCAGCTCAAGCTATTTTGTTATTCTTTTTTGTTTTTTTGGTCTAATTTTTTTTTTTTTCTCTCTTTTTTCCTTCTATTGCAGACAAATGATCCATCCACGAATACCACAGCTAGCAGTAATAGGCTTCTCAGAGTCTCTCTCAAATCTTTTTACATTTGAGATGAGGTGCAAATGGCTCGCCTTTTTTCTAGATGAGGCCTTCCAATTGCCGAGCGTTAAGGAAATGGAAAAGGAAATAAAGAGTTGGGACGAGTTCATGAAGAGGTATGCAGGCAATGGAAAGTTCAGAAGATCTTGTATTGGAGGCGCTCACATCTGGTACAATGATAAACTCTGCAAAGACATTGGATTTAACCCAAGGAGAAAGAAGGGATTTATGTCCGAGCTTTTTGAGCCTTATGGAGTGGGAGACTACAAGGGTTTGGGTCCTTGAGTTCCACCAATTGGTCTATCGTGCATTATGTGTTTAATGATCTATTAACATTTTAAATTTCGTGTGTTTCATGGNGAGAGATGTTCTGTGTATTACGGTGTGCTAATAAAAAATTATACTTACAATTTTAAAAATAAAAATTGTATTGAGTGTAAAATAGTTAGAAGAATCCCCTTGTATATAAATGCAGCATGTATGTTATCTTGCATGTCAGAATTTGGGTACGTACTCTTTGTGTGTCAGATGCTTCGAAGTAGATCATTTTGATTTGGATTCAATTAATATCTATTAGTTCATTTTTATTTGGATTCTATTAATATCTCTTAGATATTCAAGCATACACAATAACCAGCGTTCATCGTCGAACTCCAAAAAGTGATATCAGAGCTCATGGTTAATTTTTTATTTTTGTATTGTTCGAATTAGGTTCATATGCAAATTATGTGGGTACGGGCGCGATAATAATTGTATATAATTCCATAACTTGATTTTGTAGGAATTTGTGTACTAACTATTATGCCCCGATTATCCCCTCTATATATAATTTCAAAATGTGTTGAGCCTACATGACAAACTCTCATGTTTCAGAATTTTATTTGACAAAAAATAATACTTTGGAGTTAGGCTTGGATATAAATTAATATTTGTATTAATTATATTTTAATATCATTTCCTATTATAACCATTGAATTGCAAATATATTTTAAAAGTTGATAACTTTTGTATTTCTTATCGGTTTTACATATATAATAAATCAAATTAATTATCTTTTGATGAGCTTCTATTTGACATCCATATTGTATATATAAAATAAATAAATTATATTTATCTTTATAATAATAATAAAATTATTTATTAAAATCAATTAAAAAATAAAATTATTTATCAATTAATATATTTATGTTTAATGTAGTTATATGTTATAAGGTAGAAAATTTATTATAATATAATAAATATAAGTCGCACAAGTAACATGTGTCATACTAAAATATATAATAATATATACTCCTTCCTATTTTTATTATTTGTCACTTTGGTTTAATTGATCATTGATAAAATAAATATCGTTTTAGATATTTTGTTCATATTTTTTCATTTTTAACCCTCCATTAATACACAGTGTCTCTTCATATCCCATCTTCATCGTTTCCCATAACATCTATTAAATAAGGTTAGTATTGTCAAGAAAAAAAATCTTAATTAGTGTGTTGCATTTGAATTGATATTATGAAGTTAGTTTGTATTTTACTATATATATATATATATATAATACAAAACAGTAATATATATCCTTATAAATAAAATTTAAATTTATTTATAAATCTGAATTAAATTATATCAAATAAAACTATAAATTATATTTTAAAGTAATAGAAATTGCTATGTATTCTTTTAAAAATAATATTTATTTCAAATCTAATTGGTATGTTGTCAATGTAATAAAAATAAATAATTATGGATATAAATTCTAAAATTAAATATAAAGTTAAAAAACTGTGAAGCACGACTAATACGACACTTGATGTATTAGGCATCTAATTAAGTAAGAAAATTAATCTATTTTGCTTAATATTAAATAAACATATTCTACACTTATGCATATACATATCACCATATTATTTTTATTTATTTAAGATATACATTTTTGTACTTATGTAATAATAAATAATATCGATATTTTTATTTGATATAAGTAAAAAAATTCAACACGGGTTGACATTTTCATTTAATGTACGGGTGTTTAATTATTATGATTAAAAAAATAAAATTTGGCAATTTACTTAAAACCCAAAGTAATGTTTTATATAAAATTAAATTATTTTAGTTTTAAAAAAAATAAAAAAATTAATATTTTTTACAAAAGTTTTCTAATTCAACACTCTTGTAATACACGGGCATTGTACTAGTTTTTTTAAGTTATGTATGGTTCAGACATGTCGAGCATCATTTTTGGATTGTTTGATATTGTTTGATAATAGATTTAAACACGCGGCGGGCTGCTGTATAGATTTAACACGCTTATCACTTTCTAGAACAAACATAAGGCCAATGCGTGGGTGGTAGGATCAGAAAAATTGTAATTGTATTTATTTGTCAACGAACACAATGAACGACTAACACGAGATTGAGGCTAGGTAGCGCACGAGCAGGCAGACAGTGGATGGCTGAACGGTGGGAGCGTTCAAGACAACGGTGGGTGGCCGCTCGGACTGACTGGAACAAGCTCGCATGAACAGATCGCCGGCTGAAGGCTGCAGCTGAGGGATGCACAAATTACAGCGACGGGCTGCTGTTGCGATGTGAAGGCGTGCGTTTTTCCGTTCAGAAATCTCGGGCCTGGTTGGTCCGATGAATCAGTTTTGGACCAAAATTTTCGGAAGGAAGAAGATGACTTTGCGCGTGAAGAAGAATTCTTCTCGTTCAGTTTTTCCTCTCACCTGCAAATTGTGGGGGAGTAATCCTCATGACGTGGCGAGACTAGATTGGATGGAAAATTAGGCTTCACGAGAAAAGTAGGAATGTAAATGGGTCGGGTCGGGTACGGTTTTTGGCAAACCCGAACCCGACCAGCATATAATTTTACCCTACCAAAACCCAACTCGTTACCCGACTAGTGATCTTCGGGTTCGGGTTGAATTTTACCCGACGAGTTAGTGGGTTTTCATCGGGTAAACAAGTAGCACGAGTCTTTAATTTGGGCTTTACTCGACCCATCTCGTTTTATATGAAAAAATAAAATAAATTTATTTCACAATTAATTATAATGTAACAAATAATTTATTAACTAAGTTTGACAATAAAAAGATATAAAAAATTATATAATGACATATAATAATTTATCTTTTATAGTCTATTTAATAATATAACATTGAAAAATTAAGTGTGTAATTTTTTTATTGTACAATTAACAAAAATGATAATAAAATCATAAAAAATAAAATAAAATTTAACCATTAATTAAAATTATAATAGTTAGTTTAATTTTTAAAAATAGCACATGATGTTCATTTACATACAATTTAAGTACAGAAAACCTAATCCCCCAAATCCACCGAGCCTCGTCCATCTTCAATTAGCTTTGCCTTTCCCAGCGACAACGAGCTAGGGCCAGTGGTCGCCTTTGACCGCTTGGCCCACCCCCTGTTGTTGTTTGCCTCTGCCTCCGTCTTTGTTGTGGCTGTTGGAAGTTTGGTGTTCAGACCTTGGTTGCCGTCGAGTCTCATGGTGGTGAGCCTCGATCTGCCGGTGGATCTTCATTGCGTCGGCGATTGGAGTCTTATCCGCCGATGGGTCTTCGATTACCAAAGGTTAGTCCCTCGATCTGTTTCGGATCAGTGTCATCGGTCGGCCTTGCCTTCTGGTGGGGCTGCCGGAGAGGCCCTCGAATTGCCGCGGTCTTTGGTGGTTCGGGTCGGTCGTGCTTGCCTTTTGGTGGGGCTTCTAAGGTGGACCTTCGAGCTTGGATTTCCAACCGTTTTTGGTGGTGCGGAGAGGAGTGTGGGTCTTCGGGGTTGGGACGGGGCTCTCGCATTTTTCGACCCTTTGTATCAGGGAAGTTGGAGTTGGGGACCGAGTCACTCT